CAGGGCCCAGGTAACATGCCTATTGACATCCTCTTATACTTCTCTCCAATCACCTTGAACTTCTCTTAATTTCCACAGCATGTGTTAAAAAAAAAAAAAGAACAATTCTATATAAACTAAAAATACAGTGGGAAAGGAAATAGGATACAGGAATAATTGCAACAATTTTCTACTTTACAAAGCAAACATCTCCAAGAAAATTTGAAGAGTTGTGTTATTCATCTACATAAATATAATAAATAATTCAAATTTATTTGAACTCTTTATGTGTGTATACCTTTCATTTTAATACTAACTTGTCTGTTTATAACATTTCTACTCTTACAACCTTGATGTGATTGAAGATCAAAATCGAACATGACTAAGCAATGCAAAGTATGCTGTTGAAGAACAGTATACTATTTCTTAAAAGCACAGAAACACAATTTAAAACAAGCTAGAGGGAACAGGGAACTATGTGTCAATATTTAGTATAGGAAAGCAACATTTTAATATAGTCAATAACAGGTCAAGATTAATTTTCTTCCAGAAAAGGGAACATAAATTATACTTTACACAGTATAATATATAAAATATTTTTGGTACAGTAAGACTATCCCTACTAAAAATGGAACATATTACTTGTTCAATAAAACTACCACTTGCTTTTAATCAGTGTCACAATTCATTCGACACATCTGAGGTTTCCTTATGCAGGCTTGGTTTTGTTTTTTGAAATATCTCTTAATATAGTATCAAAAATTTCTTTCATGAGATTTTTACTTTCTATGTAATTCATAGCCTGATTATTTCTTATAAACCTTTGAAAAGTGCTGTGAATACAATAAATTGTACTAGGGATTCAAAAGGTTTGATTATCCATTAACCATTTGAGGATTGTAAGATTACATTTCAGGTAATTTACAGTAAGATTTTTTAAAATGTGCATGCTGATGGGGTATAATATCTGAAGATATTATACCCAAATATATAATTTATCTTTTAAATTTATCTAGATTCTTAGAAATGTCTCACAGTTTCTTTTAAAGCAATAAACTGAATGACATATTCACTTAAAAATATTATTTCTAACCTATTAGTATCAGGTGGAAAGAGTTCATATCTTTGTTATGCCAAAGAATAATTTAAATAACTCTCTAAATCAGTTTTTTGTCACATAATACATTATTACCAGACAACATTGTTCCTTGTCAAAGAGAAACAAACCATTGCATTCATTAGTCTCAAAATTTTTGTGAAAATAAACCATAAATGTAATTCAACCTCAAGAAATACATTAAACAATTACTGAAGAAGCAACTATTACTCTGAGTGTCAACACTGGCATAAGAATTAAACAGTTTAATGTGATAGGGTTATTTATTAATCTTGCTGGGAATGAGTCCCATAATTTAAAGTATGGAGACTCCATTCTTCTCTCTTTAGATCCTGAGTAGTAGGTCTAGAATATGGGAAACTCCAATTATACCAATCTCTTAATTTTTCATGAAAGTAGATCCCCTCCTGTTGTACTTCAGTATTTCACCAACATGATTGACTATAAATATTGTGAGCGCAAACTAACAAAATAACATTAGGAAAGTTTTTATGAACACTTTGGAACATTTGTGACATGGATAATGGCAGAACTCTTTCCAAACCACATTCCTTTCCTCTCAAATTCTGTAATATATTCTTGCATCATCATTGCATCTTCCTCTCAATTTATTTTTTAATAAAATTTTTTTCTAACTATGAAGTTAATGCTCATTACAGGAAATTTAAATAATAAATAAAGTTAAAAGGAAAAATACCCATAATTCTACCAATTTTTTCCTCCAGGATTTTGATAAATAATTACAATCTAAACAAGGTGTTTCAATGCTAGGGAAAAAAATCTTTAAAAGAATTCACTTAGGCTTTTGATAAATTTGTTTAACATGCATAGTTAGTTGTTAAAATTAATGGTTAATTGCCTACACTGTCTTTACTAGGAAAGCAATAGAGATATCACCTAGCAAGTATAGCTGAATTTAGAAAATTAAACATGAGCATTATTTGACTCCACTGTAGGAGTTTCTTCTTCATTTTAATAGACATATAAATGATGACTATGATTTATGGAGAGACTTATTTAATGATATAATCTTCACATCAAATGCTACAGTAAGATATCATTATTCTGACTTTACAAAACAAGGGTCTGAAATCAATCACATAGCTCTTAAGTGGCAAATTGAGAATTTTAGATTTGAACCCTGCCCTCTCTACTTCTAAGGGCATTCTTTCCTCTACAGTCCAGCACCTCACCATGAATATTATAATTTGCTTAGCCTGTGATTGGTACTTCAAATACCCACTCCCACCCTCCTTTTTTTTTAACTAATACCAGTAACGTTGGAAGTAACATTTTGATGTATAAAACTTCATTTCCATGATTATTTTCCCCAAAGAGAGCCTTAAAATTTGGATTATTGTGTTAAAGGCAGGAACATTTTTAAGGCTATCTGTATATATTGTCCATTGCTTGTCTCATTGGGGTTGTCCAAATTATAATTCAATCAGCATAACATGAAGCCTCCTGCTTTACTGTATCCTTTAAAACAAATAACTTTGATTAATGTAATAGATGAAAAGTGATTCTTTGTTGCTAAGTGTTTGGGATTTTGTTATAATTCACTATGTTTTAACACACCAATTCTCTACTGGTACAGAGTGAACCTTATACAAGGGCTGGCTAGGTCCTTGAACTAGAAATGGGAAGACGCAGGAGTGGACATTAGGCCTTTTCTTCCCTTTGTTCCCTCAAGAGTCATCTGGTTCCTACTCTAGGCCAGGCATGTTGCTAGTGTTGGGAATAAAAAGAAAGTCCATCCCTGATGTTGAAGAGCGTGTAGACTAGCAAGAGAGACAGACACAGAAACTGTCAATTTTATTACAAAGTGACCGGCACTGTGGCCAAAGTAACAAGAGGAAAATGCTTTAGGAAACACAGAGGACCAAAACCACTTCGAGAAGGCCCTGGAAGCCTTTTTGGAGATGCTGGAGCCTGAGTTCCACCTTGAAATGAAGCAAAAGTTAGCCGGCTTTCCCCTGACACCCACAACCAGAATTAATTGCTTCTTCATCAGTGTTCCCTTATTAGAGTACTTATAACAGGGTTTGTATTTATTTGCTACTATGTCACTGGGCTGAGCTTCTCACTTTGTCACTGGGCTGAGCTTCTTGATGGAGAGAGACCATATGCCTAATTAACCAAAAAAGTAGTAGGAATGCAATCAACACTTATTAAATTATTTTGAAATTCTAATCATGAAGCTATTTCCTCCCATATCTTCTTCTTGACATTTATATAAATATAAGGGATTTCTCTTTTTATTGTAGAAATAATACTCTTCACCACACATCCATCGGAAAGGCTAAAAGGAAACGATGGAACATAAGTGTTGGTGAAGTGTATGGAGTAACAGGAATATTCATACATCTATGGAGGCAGTAGGAATTGATACAACCACTTTGGAAAACTGTTGGCAGCCTTTACTAAAGCTGGGTCTTAAGTACCCTATGACCCAGCAGTTCCATTCCTAGGTATACACTCAACACAAATGCATGCATTATGTTCACCAAGAGGCATCTTTTCACCAAAGCGGCGCTATTCTCAACTGCTCCACACTAGAAAATATACACTCATCCCCAGTAGAATGGATAGACTTATTGTGGCATGATCACAGTGAGGAAAAATAATCTACATTCTACAATATGAAGGAATTTCATAAAAATAATGTTGAGGACAAACAGCCAGATTTTCTTTTTTAAAAAGTACTTACTGCATGAATACTTTTCTATAAAGCATAAAAATAGGCAATTCTGAGAAGCGACATAGCCAAGAGAACGTCATTATTTGAAAAGTGTGGAAATAAGATGCACACATCGTGTTGCCCCCCCCACTCCGTGGCTCTAAGGCCTACCACCTTCAGAAGTTCACCTGTGGCAAGCGTGGCTACCCTGCCAAGCCCAAAGTATAACTGGAATGCCAAGGCTAAACGACAAAACAAAATACCACCAGGACTGGTCGAATGAGGCACCTAAACATTGTACACTGCAGATTTAAGCATGGATTCCGTAAGGGGCCAACACCTAAGTGCAAGAGGGAAGCTGTTGCAGTGTCCAGTTCATCTTAAAATTTCAACTATTAATTACCCAATAAATGTTCTGGTTTTTTTTTTTTTTAAAAAAAGGCAAAACTATCCTATGCTATTAGATGTCAGGAAAGGTCAGTTGGGAGGGTTAGGGACTGAAAGGGAATCGGAAGAGAGAGCTTCTGGGAACGCTGATAAGGTTCTGTTTCTTGATTTGGGTGCTGGTTACACGTGTGTATTTAGTATGTGCCTTTTTCTGTATGTATACTACACTTAGGTTTTTGTTTCTAAAGTATTGAGAGAAAGCTGACAAATATAGCTGTTTTAAAATGTTTAAATTACCCACAATCCCACTATCCAAAGATAACTACTGTCAACATTTTGTATTTTTTCCTTCCAGTCTTTTGTTTTTTAAGCCAATGTTCATATGCTCACTCCTCCCTACCCTCACGTTTACACACACACCGTTTGCTAAATTAGGCTCGAATTTGTTTTTATTTCTGCTTTTTTTATTTTTACTTAAAGTTAATTCATATCAAATATTCTTTGCAGGCATTTGATAAGCTGCTACTACATTTAATAAGTTGCCCATTGTACATATCTTTAAATTAGAAAACCGAATTGGTCACAACATTACACACACACCCCTAGAAGAGGAGCTACTGGATCGTGAACATTCCTTAAGCTCTGCATTCGTTCTGTATTTCCCTCCAGAAAGGTTATACAACAGTCCCAGGGCCAAGGTGCGAGGGCTCCTTGTATCGCGCAACCCAAACCCAAGCCCAAGCCATTTGTCATTGTGTGTTGGTTTTTAAGACGGTGGGGCTCAAAGCAGGACTAAGGGATCCGCCGTTTAGAACACGGCGGAGGCGCTCGGCCCCCGGGGCTGGGAACCAGCTCTCAGCACGCGGGTCCCTCCCAGGCACGCGGGCTCCCGACCAGACCCGGCCGGCACTGCGGCCCCGCGCGCGCCCGTGTCCCGCCGCGCTGCGCGCCGCCGGGTTGCCGTGGGAACCACAGAGCGCGGCTGCGCCCGCAGACCAGCCTGTGTCTGAGGGGCAAGGGACACTGAGGTCGGCATGGAGCTGCCGGATCCGGTTCGCCAGCGGCTGGGGAACTTCAGCCGGACCGTGTTCAGCGACTCCAGCCGGACAGGGCCGGAGTACAGTGAGGGCCCGGGTGAGTGGCCGAGGCCCGGCGCAGGGGGTGTGGCCCGCCGACGGTTTGGCGCCGGCTTTGCCGAGTCCAGTGATTGCCCGGACCTAAAATGGTGGTTTAGCCTTCAGCCGCTTCTCCGCGGTGCGGGGAGCCCCGTGGAGGAGGGGCCGGCTCGGGCGCCTCCGGCCTCCGACCGTGGGTAGGCCCTTGGCTGGTCGTGCTGCCTCCCGGCCTACTCTTTGCAAGCGCGGCAACTGAGGTGGTGCCAACCTTTGCACTGCGTGATGCCCAGCCTTGCTGGGAGGAGACCCAAAAAATAAAAAGATAAAAGCCACCCTCGCAGCACACTCCGGGTCGCGCGCGCTCCGCAAAGGCAAATGCCGACGCTGCTTTTCCTCTGCGGCGCCCACCCTGGCTTTTCTGGCCAGATAAGGGGAACCTCCCTATTTTCCAGTCCCCATCCCGGGGCTGAAATATCTCTGCCTTTTCTCTTTTCCTAGCAGAGTAAGTACGTTCCTCCACAAAACTATTTTCTGGCAGAAGAGATGGAAAGAATTTTTTTAATGAGTCATTTTAAACCCCGTTGACTCCAGAGTGGCAACTCTAGACTAGCAGGGCCTTCTAACGAAACTCGCCTCTTCCCTTCCTTCTCCCTCCCTACATGTATGTAACTCTTACCCTAAATCTGGTAACAAAATACCAGGATGCTACATTCAACTTGATGACAAGTGATAAAGCAGTTTCCTCCTCGTAAATCATGATGATAGCACACTGTCAACCAAATCCATGTGGTTTTTCATCATTGAACTCAGCTGAGAAATAGTTTCCTGTTTGGTTTTAGGGAAATTTAAAAGGGGGCAGAGAAATGTAAAATCAGTTCTCATAGTTGCATTTTTGTTACCTTGATCATTTGCCTGTCCTCCAAGTATAGGCCTTTTATGATTTAGGATGTAGCAAGAAAAACGTGAAAAAATAGATTTTCACGTTTCTACGGCTGAGACTTAATAGGCACTAAAATCCCATAATACAAGGTCAGCAGACCTATTCTGAAAAGGGACAGATAGTAAATATTTTCGACCTTTGTGGGCAGTTTGGTCTCTGCAGCAGCCATAGGCAATAGTGATTGAATAGGCATGGTTGTGTTCCAATAAAAATTTATGGACACTGAAATTTGAATTTCATATGGTTTTCACATGTCACAAAATATTACTTTTAACCATTTAAACATGTGAATAACCATTTTTAGCTCCCTGAACAAAAACAGTTAGCTGGCCAGTAGTTTGTTTGCCTACCCCAGATTTGTATCATACATTTTAATTTAAATTCCATTTACAGAACTCAACATGAACTTTTGCAAAATTTAGTAAATTCATGTCTTATGCTTTCAAGGTTTATTTACATATAACTTAATTTTTCAGTTGCATGATTATAAGTTTGATCTGCTGAAATATGGACATAGCATAACTTTTAAGACATTCATGTACCAAACTTTTAACATAAAAACCATTTTTTGCAAAATATGGCTATAGTTTCTGCTCAAAAGGTACTAAAATTTTCAGCTTGCCCAGTTTATTATTGATCCACATTATTGATTGTTCTTTGTGGATCTGAAGTAGGTTTGATCATTTGTACTGTAATAATACATTTATTTTACTACCATGTTCCACAGCATCGTATTATTGTTAAGGAAAAAACCTAAGCTGGTGAGTTGTCTTGAGATTTAAGATTTTAAGAAATCATTCCTTTATCAGTGGTAATTTCATAAATAGGTGCAAGCAAAAGTAGATCGTCAGCCTGGGCAGAATAGTGAGACCCCCCCCCCCATCTCTAGGGGAAAAAAAATTAGCCAGGCATGATAGCCTGCGCCTGCAGTCCCAGCTGTTTGAGAGGCTGAGACAGGAGGATTGCTGAGCCCAGGAATTTGAGGTTACAGTGAGCTATGATCAGGCCATTGCACTCCAGCCTGCGTGCAGCCTTGGTGATAGAGCAAGACCCTGTCTCAAAAAAAAAAAAAGATAATAATCAGGCATATTCTTAGAGCTAAAGGAAACCGTCTTGCTTTGAGAGACCATGATTATTTTTTACATTTTAACATTGTTAAATGACATAAAAAATACTCAGCTGTGGGGAAAAAGAAAAAATAATGTTTTTAAGAAATTTATTTTAGAGCCTTTGTAAAATCTTTTATTTGGAACAATTGATTTCAAAATATATATCTTCTCTTAAGAATTTAGTCAAATTAGGATTTATTTTGTAAAGCTCAATTTTAAAAATCAAATTCTAAATTTAGGATCCTTCTTCCTTACATAAAAGCAAAAGGTATTATGTAATCAACCTTAGATAAATGGAACTTACGTACCACAAGTGGCTACATTGGTGATGTCCTTATGACAGTATGATTTCATTAATTTGATCTTTCTGCTTATTTATATTTGGTATTTACTTCATGTAAAGCAAGATGCTAAGTTCTATGAGGGTCTCAAATTTAGGTAGGACATGGTCTGTGCTTACAGTGAGACTGTATATAAGTAGATGAGAAGAAGGAAAGGGGACTAATATTTGTTGAGTGCCTACTAAGTATGCCAGGCATGGTGCTATGGTGAAATAATTGTCTTTAATCCTCACAAGCAACTTGTGAGGTGGTATTAACGTTGCCATTTTACAGATGAAGAAATTGAGGCTCAAAGAGGTTAAATAATTTATCTCAAGTCTGGCATTCAGGCTCATGGGGGTTTGGGGAGCTCTGGGTTTACTTGAACTCTGAAGCCCATGATGTCTTCAGTATACCAGACTGTCTTAGGTGAGGGGAGTGTGTATCTTTACCAGCCCTTCTTATATATAGTTTAGAGTGATAAGTACCTAAAGGGGAAAGAGATTTCTGCTGGGGTGGGGAGAATATGATCAACTAAGGACTGAAGGAAAAGGTGGCATTGGATTGGACTTTAAAGGATGGCTGACATTAGGGTATACTGAAAAGAGAGATGTGTTTAATTATAATCTGGAGAAATTAGCTTTTGTATGAATTTGGAATATATGTGAGAGATTTGTTTTTATGTGTTTTATGTGTTCATTTTGTAGGCTTTTTATATAGAACTCTACAAAGGAGGCAATGATAATTATCTGTTCAATAGGATTTATATTGATATTTCACATTTAATCTATACTTGTAGTGTGCAAAAAAGTCAGCAGACTATAATGGCAAAAGGGTAAAGTAATTGAAAAATATGAAACGTACCCCCAAGTAGCCAGTCTTTGAACTACATGGATGAAAGTTCCTTTCACTGTCAGTGATTATAAATAGGCTTAAAATGTGGAGTTTTGGCTGGGCACAGTGGCTCACGCCTGTAATCCTAGCACTCTGAGAGGCCAGGAGTTCGAAACCAGCCTGAGCCTGAGCAAGAGCGAGACCCCGTCTCTACTATAAAAATAGAAAGAAATTAATTGGCCAACTAATACATATAGAAAAAAATGAGCCGGGCATGGTGGGTGGCGCATGCCTGTAGTCCCAGCTACTCGGGAGGCTGAGGCAGGAGGATCGCTTGAGCCCAGGAGTTTGAGGTTGCTGTGAGCTAGGCTGACGCCATGGCACTCACTCTAGCCTGGGCAACAAAGCGAGACTCTGTCTCAAAAAAAAAAAAAAAATGTGGAGTTTTATTGAGCCAATATTATAGTTATGAATTCTAACAAACAAAAGGACATATAGGGCATAGACCAGGATTAAGAATTTGCTCCTTTTCTATTTCTTCTATAGATAATGAGATGGTCTCCAGTTTGGCATTGCAGATGTCACTTTATTTTAACACTTACTTTTTCCCACTTTGGTGGGTAAGCTGCATTATGATGCTTTACATAAAGGTATGTATATGCTTTAATATTTCTGGGAGGCCTCTTCTGCCCATTCCTGACATTGTTACATTGTCAATGAAATTAAAGTTCTTAATATTTTTTCTATCCTAGGTCAGTGTTACTATATGTAAGATTTTACAAACACAATTTGACTTTTTTTTTTTTTTAGTATTCAGTTTTGCCTGATTACTACAAATTCATTGTGATCACTGTTATCATCCTAATAACCTTAATTGAAGCCATCCGGTTGTATCTGGGCTACATGGGTAACCTGCAGGAAAAGGTAACCTCTTCTTTTTCTCACTCAGTGCTATACATAAATGCAGTAAGGTTTTCATAGCAAATAAAAGGCAGTAGGGTGAGGAAGAGCACAGGCCTGAATTTAAGGCCTGGCTCCAATTTTATCACTCTGTCACTGTGGTCTGTTCACTTAATCTCTTGAGCTCTGGTTTCTTCATATATAAGATATGGAAAATAATATTTACTTTTCAAGTTTGTTGTGATTAAGTGAAATGATTTATATAAAGTACCTGAATGTAGTAAGCACATAAGAACTAATAGTTTTCCTACTTCTTATCAGTCTTGAAAATACTTGGTCAACTAAACATATTTATTTGGATCCTGAATAAGAAAATGGAGGGAAATAATAAACTCATTTCCTGTTCCAGGCCTATGTTTTCTACGTCATCATGCTACCTAAGCATTTACAGTTACCAGAGTGTAGGGATAGTAACTGAAGATCTCTGCAGTTTTTTTAGGCCCTTCATAATTAGGCTCCACCCAGCCTGTCTTACTGTAGTTCTTGCTTTTTCTAATCCAGCCATCCATTCCAGGCTGATGTGTTGATCCCAGCCATGTGTGTTTCACATGTTTGCTTACTTACCTTTTTGCGTCTTCCTCCTTCCACACAACTTTACAAGCCTACATGCTTAAAGTCTTTCTTACACCTATCCTAATTACTTTCTAATATTTCTTGTAGCATTTAGTCTATGTGTCACATTTGATTATTCACTAAAGTGTAGTATTCTAGGGTTGTTTTACATGTTAGTTTTCTCATCTAGACTAAGTTCTACTACCATGTCATCCTCATTTTGAATTACTAACAGAGCTCATAATGTAGGTTCACAGTAGTAATATGTACTTGTTTATCTGTATAAACAAAAAACAATATTTTATTGATTTTATTACTTTTGATGTGTATCATTGTAGGTTCCTGAGTTGGCTGGCTTTTGGCTTTTGAGCCTTCTATTGCAGTTGCCTTTAATTCTTTTCTTGCTCTTAAATGAAGGCCTAATAAATCTGCCCTTGGAAAAAGCGATACATATCATCTTCACCATCTTCCTAACTTTCCAAGTTGTTGCAGCATTTCTTACCTTGAAGAAAATGGTCAATCAGTTGGCAGTTCGTTTCCACCTCCAAGACTTTGATCGGCTCTCTGCAAACAGAGGAGATGTGGGAAGGATGAGGTCAAGTATAGAAGAGATCTGATCTAGTGCTGTTGAGTGAAAATCTGAAAGCTCATTCTAGAAAACTGAAATAGTTAGGAAAATATCAGAGGTCTAACAAGAGAAAAGGTACAAAGCAAGTGTTTTGAATTGTATACTCTCTAGATCTGAAATTCCAAGGTTAGGGGCCATGATAAGACTTTGCACAGTACCTGAAAGCAGTATATTAACCCTAAAATCTAGATGTTATCCACCTGATGCCAAATTTCTTAAATTTTTTGATGTTGTTGACTTTTTCAGGTTTGTAGAAATCTGTCTATTGGTGATCTTAGTTTACTAGCTTTACTGTAATATTTCCAGTTAGGATCTATAGCTAGAAATGTGTACGTTTCTTTTAAACTTGGTTAGTCATATCCTGGCTGTACCTCTGACCATGTTTCTTGAAGTAAATGGAAATGCTAGTCAGTATTCTTGTGTATTAGACTGTATTTATAAACCAAAAGATCAAATTTTCATGTCTGCTAGGGTTAAATTGTAACCCTAATCTTAGCTGTTATACTGAGGTTGAGAAGAAAACAGGTGGATTATCATGGTATTTAGGAAATATTTTTGTCATAAAATTGTAACTTTCATAAAACCATGTTTAGTACTTGTGGTGGTATGTAAAATGTTTTTATAATAAATTATAAAATATTTATGTTCAATTATCAGAACAAATTATACTGTCTTATGCAGTTCTTTTGGGTTATGGATGTGTTATTTTTATTACAGAGTTGCTAGGGAAGGAAGGAGGAAACAAACAAAACAGTGTCCCCCTTCTGGGTAGGGGCCATTGTAGTAGGCACATTAAGTTAGCCCTTGTGATTTCATCTACTGGATTATTGTTCATTAAAGAACTGCTTCATTCCTATTAAGTTCATGTGAGGCTTGCTTTGGAAATGAGACTGCCTATTAATACATATGAGAGCTGAGATGGCCAAAGGGACTATACTCAGGATCCTAAATGAACATGTTCCCTTGTTAATAGAGGAAACCTATTTAAGGAAATTTTTTTTTTTTTTTTTTTTTTTTTTTTTTTGGAGACAGAGTCTCACTTTGTTGCCTGTGCTTGAGTGCCATGGCATCTGCCTAGCTCACAGCAACCTCAAACTCCTGGGCTCAAGGGATCCTCCTGCCTCAGGTTCCCGAGTAGCTAGGACTACAGGGATGCGCCACCATGCCTGGCTCATTTTTTATATATATGTTTTTAGCTGGCCAATTAATTTCTTTCTATTTTATAGTAGTGATAAGGTTTCACTTTTGCTCAGGCTGGTTTCGAACTGCTGACCTTGATCAATCCGCCTGCCTCGGCCTCCCAGACTGCTAGGATTACAGGCGTGAGCCACCATGCCCAGCCTATTTAAGGAAATTTGATAAGAACAAAGTTGCTTGGGTGAACATTATTTTAAAGTGATTATTGGATTGTCTTAAGAGATATAATATTTTTATTATAGGTTTTATTCTTTCCTATAGGGAAATATGCCTTTATAAGTAATGTATTTTACTGAGGGACAGTTGTAGCTACATTAAAAATTATTCTTTCCAATTTTCTTTTTTTTGCAATTCATGCTCTCTTAGGATTTCCACATTTTGCTTTATTCATTCTTACACTGCTGAATTTTTTTAAATGTCTTCACTTCCCATTCACTCTTTTTTTTTTTTTTTTGGGTCCCTTATTTTATTTTGGCATATTATGGGGGTACAGAAATGCCCCTTTCCCCCCCTCCCCCCAAAACCCATTCACTCGTGATTATACTTTACCGATTTATGCTAACATTATTTCTGTACTTGATTATTATAAAGTTCAACCAAAGATTTTTCCCCACATGCAGTAGCTGATTAATCTTTCCCCTATACCAAAGTAGTCACTAAGTATACTCTAATAATTTGAAATTAAAAATAGAAATCTGTTTGAATAGTTTTCTAAAACTTGTATTTGTTTGCATCTGTTTTCCATATAAGAGTAGGTAGGTGATTCCATAAGAAAATTAAATCTACAAAACAGATAAAATTAAGGGATGATTGAGAAAGACTTTCCTATTTCAAGATTGTTTCCAGAGTTTTGTTTTAAATGGTAGAGCCTCTGGTACTTTTAAACTTTAGGATTAAGAGATTAATAACTAAAATGTCAATCATAAAATCATAAAAATTTTTAAGGATCTTAAAAATTGATTTATTACAATTTTCAGGTAATTTTGCTATCATAAACATATTGCTTAAAATGCAGATAAAGTAAGGGTGGGACAAAAGAAAGTAAATTGAGACCATGACCTGGTCATTTGTAGGGTTTTTCAGCTAAACAATAAAACCATGGATTTTGTGTTAGGCTGAACCAATATTTGCTATTGGGAGTATAGCTGTTTCCCTATGTAAGTATATGAAAATTGAGGTAGAGAAGATATTTACATGCCAGCACATTTAGGGGTTAGGCAGCCTTTATTTTAATTTTATTTGAATATGTTTGTCCATCATTAATTCCTAGTATATCCTTCTCTTCAGGGGTTCACAATACTGTTCTGAAATTTTTTTTTTTTTTTTTTTTTTTTTGAGACAGAGTCTCACTTTGTTGCCCAGGCTAGAGTGAGTGCCATGGCGTCAGCCTTGCTCACAGCAACCTCAATCTTCTGGGCTCAAGCGATCCTCCTGCCTCAGCCTCCCAAGTAGCTGGGACTACAGGCATGTGCCACCATGCCCAGCTAATTTTTTGTATATATATATTTTTAGTTGGTCAATTAATTTCTTTCATTTTTTTTGGTAGAGACGGGGTCTCGCTCAGGCTGGTTTCGAACTCCTGACCTTGAGCAATCCGCCCGCCTCGGCCTCCCAAAGTGCTAGGATTACAGGCGTGAGCCACTGCGCCCGGCCTGTTCTGAAATTTTTAGTTAAATTTTGAGCTTCACAAATATTTTTTTCCTTTACATAGTTTAATTCTTCCAGAGGCTTTTTCTCATCAGAGACAGGGTAGGTGTGAATTTCTGTAAATCAAAATGATTTCAAAATATTGAAACTTGTTAATTTAACATATCTTTGAATACCTAGTATATGTAAAAAGTAGTGGAGGGTTCATAGACAAGACATGCTCCCAGTTGATAGGGGTATGATGTAGAAGGTAAAACATTTGTACAATCTTAAGACAAAGTAGAAAAGTGTAAGTTTATCAGGGAGGCACATTGAATGATGTTTCTACTTGATAAGTACCTGAAAAACAACAGGCCCTTGGCTTCCAGTGCATCTCTCTGTCTGTGTTCCTAGCACTTGATATCCTAGGATTAGCACATTAGCCCTTCATCAACATTATTTAGCATTCACATGCTCCACATTGTCCAAGGGGGTGGGGTTGGCATTCAGGTTAAACACATACACTCTCACTCCCACTTGCCTGTACAAACAAGAAGTTCCCTGTCTGGTAGAAAAGGCAGATAAGCAAATCAGTGATGGTGCAGTGTGGTAGGGTACTGTAGGATTATAGAGCAGGGACATCTAAATGACATGAGAAATCTGGAAAGCCTTCCCAAAGAAAGTGACACTTGAGATTTGAAGACTTAAGTTCAGTATTAAGAGACAGAAATAATAGTGACTATGAGAACTGTCTCAGGTACTACAAGTAGTTTGGTGAAGGTGGTAGAAAGGCTACAATGAGAAGAAATGACACAAAATAAGGTAGAGAAGCTTGGAAGGTGCCAGAAAGCTAAGCTAAACATTTGAATGTGTTCTGAATCCCTGACTGAACAGTGGAGTAACACAAACAGACTTAGGTTTCAGAAAGAGCTCTTTGAAAACTGTGTGAAAGATGGATTGT